AATCGGTTAACGAGCGTCGGTTGTCGGTTAGGAAAAATAACCAAAATGAACATCCCTACTTAATTTTAGTTATTTTTTGTGCAATATTTCTGTAATACAAATACTTTACTACAGAAATATGATACCAAAAAATATATTTACAGAAAAGTACTACTAAAAAATAAAGTTAAAAATAAGTAATTAAAAATAAGTAAAAAAAAAGATAAATATATATTTTTATGCAGTTTTATGTGAAAATGTCTCAAAGGTTTAAGTTGAGATGTTAAAAGTGTTGCTGTCACTTGTGGTCTATTCAGAACACTGGGGATTGAATGTCAGCTGGATTGCAGTGCATTGTGGGATGTGTTTGTTGTGTTGTAGGTGGATGGAGGTGATCCGCAGCACCACCTGCTCATCCAGTCACATCCGCTCTCTGAGCCGCAAAGAGCCACACGTCTACTGACCAAAGACCGTTCTCAATCAGGTCCTCTCTACACACTTTAATACGGTTCTTATGGAAGTTTTTCGTGTGCCATATCGTTGTTTCACTTTATTGAAAAATTGAGAAGGCTTTGAAGGATTGAGATGGAGGTCAGTGCCAGAAACATCAGGTCAAACAAAGCCAAACACTTCCAGATCTACAGTTCCTTTCAGTGCGCAAAAACACAGTCCTCGTTCATGAAATGCAGGAGCTAATTAGTGTAAACGGTGCATAAAATGTACAAGAAAACTTTAAGGAATGGTTTATTGAATTGAATGCAATGGTTATGTTGAATGCGATGATTTGTTCTTATGAATGTTTTATTGATGTGTACGTGAGAGTGTTTTTTAAATGCTTTATTGGATGCTATGGTGTACACGAGACTGAATGCGAGGGTTTAATCTGAGAAAGCTTTTGTGAACAGTTTACATATGAAGCTGTTCTGCTGGTGTTTCATGAATGAGGCCCGATGCCTGTAAACTCTGTCAATCAGACGTTCATCTCTGGACTGTTTTTAAATGTAGTAACACTACAGCTTTTATTACTGACTTCTGGTCTGATGTTTATAAAGGGGTGATTCTTTCTGTCTACATCTCAGTGATAAAAAAGGAAAAAAATCTGGGGGAAAAAAAAGTGCAGGTCATATTTCAACCCAAAAGTAATGGGTTAAAGGGGTCATCCCGCCTTTCTGAAACGCGTCGATTTTTACAAAGCTCATCGGTCTGAAAAGCAAGGTGTGCTCTGATTGGCCACCTATCCAATGTGTTGTGATTGTGTGGATTGTGTGGTTGCGTTGAATACCTCAAGCGTGTGACGGAAATGTTACGCCCCCTTTCTTTGCGTGAACATTTGGGTGGCGTTATGCAAATCTTCCCACATAGTGATGTAGATATGTGGGGGTGTGTTAGAACGAGACGTTTTAGGTAGGCGTGGCTGACTCTGTACTTTTATAAAGAATATCTCTTTGGATTTGAGACTTTAGTCTTTGCAACTTTACAGATCTTCTTTATGCACCAAGAGCTTGTAACACTCCAAAGAGAAAGGAACAATTATTATTATTATTATTTTGCACCAAAACAAGCATCTTTTTTTGAAGAATATATTCATAATTTTTTGCATGAAAATAGGCTAGTTTTTAGAACTATTACTTTTTTTTTTGTTCTTTTTTTTTTCAATGACAATTTGCCCTGAGAATTTCATTATTGTAATGCATAAATATTTAGTACAATTGTTATTTTACATAATGGTATTATACAATTTATTCAGTTTTCAATTAAAACAAAAATGTCTATGATTTTCATTACTGTATTAAAATAAAAAATTTGGAAAACTGAGGAAAAAAAATTTTCTTCAAAAAATATGCTTGTTTTGGTGCAAAATAAAGTTTCACTTTTCACACTTGCTGGTTTTTTTTGACATTGGGTTGATGTGAAATTATTTTTGGGGTGAAATGACCTGGTCGTCCCGTAGACCGAGTCTATGCACAAGCTGGATTTGTAATGTTTTAGGCCTGAGATGTACGGCACGTGCTGCCTTCAAGCGTTTGTACCGCACTCAAACCTTTCTTTTGTAGGATGTCATTTTTATACAAGTTTTGATACTAACTGTGAAGCGCTCCACACTAGTTTTGTGAGGGATCAGTACACAGTCCCTCATAGTTATCCATTATTCTGTCATGGTGCAAGAAAAACAACACAAAAGAAGGAAGCCGGCTGCCTTTTGTCCAACTGCTTGAGTGCCAAAATTCTTCTCTTTAATCTTTTTTTAAGCATTTGGAGCATTTTAATTCTTTCTTAATGCATATATATATATTAAAAATTACAATATGGATTATATGTTGGCAGAAATGTATGTTTGACAGTGGGTGAATATGTTCAGAATAAATCCACATATATATACAGATGTGCTGCACTTTTCATTTCATTTACATGATAAAAATGAAAACATTCAGAATTAATGATTTTATTGCAACAAAAAAAAAAACATTCAGAATTAATGATTTTATTGCAACAAAAAAAAAAACATTCAGAATTGATTTTTTTGTAACGTGCAGTATAGAAAACTCATAATAAACACTTCTACAGCATATGTACAAATACACCTGATAGTACTATATA